CAGCCTCCTCAAAGCACATTGAGAATGGTATTCGACCAATAGGGATGAAGTTCCCTATTCCTTGCCTTCATCCGACCATGCCTTACTTTCATCCCTCCCAATTAGCCTCCTATTAGTTTAGATTTTCATCCTTAGGTTTCCACCTTCTCTCAAGGCTTCATACTAAACATTTAGGTCCTATATATATATTTTAATGTCAAAATCAAAAGAAGTAAAGAAACAAAGTAAAGTTTCTTATACCAACTCCTTTGAATTTAATCTACTAGCCACTCTAACACACATCTAGATTTATCAACATATAATATGTTTTAACTAATTTTTACATACTGTAAGCATTTACTGTACGACACCATTTTCTATGTCATTTCGGAAAAAACGTCCTTTCCGTGGAAAGATCCTCTTAGAGACAAGAATTTCGAGGAAGCACCGTTGATTATTCCAATTTGGAGTCCAGGGCGGGAGAAAAAGGGACCACACAGAGTTAAAAGAGAGGAGAGGATAAGAAAAGGGGCATTTGGAGATAAGGGTTTTGGGGATCGGAGAGCTAGCTTCAAGCTCCTTCGAAAGGTGTAGAATTAGATTTCATAGGGTTTGGGAGGACTTTTGCAATCGTTATTGAAAGTCAGTGTTTGTATTGGTGAATTGGATTTTTTTTGCAATAAAATTAAGGCTGATACTCTTGACTATTTTGTGAAATTAGAGAAACTTCTACAATTGAAATTTAGAGGTATCTAGAGGGTTGGGTATGCTGAGTGGATGCAAAAAGTTGTGTTAATCTAACGGAACAGATAGAGGATATTTGACCATTAATGTAAAGAGATATCGAAAGTTAGCAGATTAAGATTATTTAAGGTTTTTGTAATATCTGGAGATCTACCAGCTATAATAAGGTGACTTTTGGCGTGGTAAGTCGAGGACTTCTAGGCGGCGGTCAAGATACATCAGTGTGGATTAACGACATTTTCTTGCTACTTGTAAGTTAGATTGGATTGAAACTTCTTGAGCATTTAGAAGGCTTGCAAAGATACTAGTGGTAGAAGTTTACAACCATTGGACGGTCATATTGAGAATTATAGCTTGCCGAAGCTTACTGTCTAGGATTAGGGTTAAAAATAAAAATAAAAATAAAAATAAAATAAAAATAAAATAAAATAAAATAAAAAAATAAAACTAACAAATAATAAAAGACTTGTGCTTATAATATCATGAAGTTATTAAAATAGTATTTCTAAGTATTTTGTAATGGAATTAAGCTTTTACATTGAAATCCAAAATAGTTGTATTTAGATGGTTGAAACCCACTAGCCTATCCGGATACTTGTAAAACATTATTTTATCTTCTACAGCTAGACGCCCAATGCGTTCTCAAACAAGATAGCACGTAATACGACAACACAAAGAGGCATATTCCTCCTCAATAGCAGTTTTTTATTTTGACCAATCAGAGCGATACATTGCTTCCTTGATGATTTGAGGTTCAAGATCATCTTCCTTGCAAGAAAAGGCTTCTATAATCATATGTGTAAATGATTCATCTACCATAAATAGATGGTCTGTCTTAATTATCATCTATAGCTCAATACAAAATAGATAATTTTTTATTCAACTTGTTCTTATTCCTTCCAATTCCAAGATTATTTTTCACATGAATTGAAAATATATTATGCATAGATATATCATCATGAATTGATGGTCCCGCAAGATGAGTGGCAATTTCTTGAGAAATAATACCAAGATTAATCAATATTTTAGCTTTCTTCTTACGTAGTTGCTTATCTAGTCGATAAATTCTTTTAGTTGTTGTTATTATAACTTGAGGTATTATAGTTAATAGCACTGCAATCTGAGCAGGTGCATTCTGAGCCTCATTAATAGGAACTCTTGTAATTTTAGGTGCATCATTGAAGCCATTAGATATTTCATCTAGGATCCATTTTAGATGCAAAATCTTAGCAACTTCAGTTTCAGCCAAAGATGTCCTAGGATTGGGATTCATTGTAAATGTTTCCAATGCTCCAAATACAAGTACTTTATTTCTATATTTATTGGATACTCTTCTTTAAAGAGATGGGAATACATTCTCTTCAAAACAGCAATTTTGCAAATGTGCACGTAATAATGTGCCAGTTGATGAATCAACAATATGAATAATGCTTGATGAATCAAAACCAATATATATACCTTCTTATCTATGAGTTCCAATAGTACGCCATTGAAGTTCTAGTACTGAAATCTAAGCACGGCAATGAAATACTCGTAAGTAAAATATATTTGGAACACGACTCAAAATAAGCTCATGTGGTGAAACAATGTCAAGAAAAGAAGGGCAGAGGTATATTAATGATGCAGCATATAAAATTGCATGTCTCTACATAGATGCAAGTAAATTTGCATGAAGAAGGAGTGGCTAGGTAATGAATTGTATATGCTTTATAAATAACTCTGTAAGTCTATTTTGAGCATGTTCATATCAAACACAATATGTCAAGTCAATTCTTGTTGCAGTATAATAGTCTTCAAAAGACTTTAATGCAAATTCTTTTGTATTATCCATATGCAATGTTTTTATAGGATAATCAAGAAAATGTGCCTGAAAATAAATAAGTATAGATATAAGATTGGCAAATACCATGTTTTGACTTGATAATAATGAAACATATGATTGTTTACTTGATGCATCAACAAGGACCAAAAAATAACAAAATGGTTCCTATATTGGATTAATAAGTCCACAAATATCACCATGCAATCTTTCAAGCATTGGTGGTAATTCTTGTGGAAGTTTCCAAATTGAAGGCTGAATAATCATCTTACCTTACATGCATGCACAACATAATTCCATAGAGTCTACATCTGCAGGCTTTAAATTGTGTCTAGTTATACATAGAATGATCTTTCTAAATAATGTAGATCTTGGATGTCCCAATTGTCCATGCTAAAGAGAAGCATGACTCTCTGTGATAGATGATGGAAAATTAAATATAATGGGAGGCTAAATCGCAATTCGGTATGAACCATTTTCTATAGCAAAAGTTTTTTTAAGAACTTTATGGTTCTTCGCAAGAACCAAAATCTCTTTTCTATTTAAAATAGTGGTCAAGAGGTGATAACCATTGATACACACATCTTGGTAGCTGATTAGACTTTGAGGTGCTCAAGATACAAACATCACATGTTTACATTTTATGATGGAATCCACAAGTAATTTTACCATCGTTGTACCTTCTTGGAAACAAAACTCATTACTTCAAGCCATGGTCATCATATTTTTAGTTGGCCAAGTTTAAGATTTTTTAATAAAAAATCATATATCTCGTAAGATATTATGTATTGTTGTAGAAGTAATGAGCATATCATTTAGTTTATCATTAGAGGTTTTGTCATTCATATAAACCTCTAAGTCATCAACACCAATTGAATCTATCGATGCATCGATGGTATGAACTTCACGAGCCTCAGCTCTTAGTTTCTTATTTTCTCAAAATATTTTAATAAAATATTTTGAAGTATGGCACATATATGCTAAATATCCAATCATTCAATATTTATGGCAAGAATGCATCTTTGATTGTTGTTTTTTACTATAATTAATAATAAAATATTTATTCTTTCCATATGAATAGAAATGGTCATGACTTTGATTGCCTTGATGCTTATGAGCATATTTTTCATGTTTATATAATTTTTTCCTAGACTTTGAAATATTAAGTGCATGAAATTTTGGAACTGTAGTTCCAATAGGACGAGCTTCTATATTGCACAAGAGTAGCTTATTTTTCCTCTCTGCAAGAAGTAGATAGGACATGAGATCAAAATGACTCTAAAATTTCATGTTCATGTATTTTTGTGCAAGCACAACAAATACAGGAGGAAATGTAGAGAGAGCTTTCTCAATCATTTCTTCTTCAGAGATGCTTTGTCCACATAATCGTAATTGTGAGGCAATACTATACATTTCACTATTGAAAGCATTTAAATTTGGAAAATCCAAAATACGTAAATATGTCGAATCATGACATGCACATGGAAGGAAAATGGTCTTTTGATGATCAAACTTTGATTTAAGATTCTTCCAAAGTTTTACAGGATCTTCCATTTTCAAATATTCATGTTGTAATGTAGGTACAAGATGATGATGAAGGAAAAGAAGTGCTTTCCAATGGATAGCATGAGGAATAGAAATACTTATTGTAGGAGATTCTTCAAACATAATAGCATCTGAGAGTTGTTCTGTAAATAAATTTGCTTTTGCCATTTTTGCCCATAATAGATAATTATTTCTATCCACACTCAATGGTGGAAATAAAAGAGCTTGAAAATGTTGGGATGCATTGATAATAGTTAGAACCATAGTAGAAGTAGTTGAAGATGTTAAAGCATTCATTATAAATAAATCTGTAAAGGTTTTGGCCTCGCGAGGTCCTCGCTGATTAACCAGCTTTGAAACCGACAATGGTGAAGCACTCGGCGGAGTTAGAAAGATCACGACCCAGAGAGCAAGAGCTTGAATTTCCCAAGTCAATGTTGACAGTTACCGCAGTACCACGAGGGACCAAGCAACCATGGCAAACAGCCGCCGTTGATGATGCCAGTTTCGAGGCGCTTGGGCCCCTTTGCCACGTAGTCACTGGTAATCAATCAATCGTCAATGTATGTGCCGCTGCAGCCCGATCTACTGCCAGGTAATGAACTGCAAACCCGGGATCATGTAGGGTGATTGCTCAACACATGTAAATGTTGGAAGTATTCAGTACGACAGAGAAGTGAAAGCATATTCCAGAACAATTCCCGAAAGTTTCTGTACCACCAGACTCGAAGCTTCACTCATTAGTTCCATTCAAGCCACTAATCACTGAATGCAATTTCTCTGTGTTTTTATCCTTTGTCCACAAGCAGGGAAAACCCATAAGTAACAAAACGCTGTGGCACATATGAACTTGGTGAGATTGCTGGCATCCAGAATACCTGCATTGTCGACTATGTGTCAATTTCTGGACGGATTAGACAACATTGCACTAAAATTTGCAACTTTAAATTCCAAAACACCAGTTCAACATGATTGGAAACAATCGTTCTCTAGAAAGTTGGAAACTATTTCTCATTGTCACACCACAGAATTCTATCAAGTTAAAAAAAAATAAAAAATAAAAAATTACCAGGGATTTCTGGGCTTTCGTACCGCAACCCACGACGTAGTATATACAATCTGGCTATCCTACCTCCATAAAGCCTCATCTATCAACTACAAAAATGCTTTTGCACATATTGAAGACTGAATTCCGCAATATTTAGATTTAGACTAGAAGTGCGTAATCTAATGAAGGGGACCAAAATTAAAATCAAACTTTGCTGGGCACTTCCAAGTTTTCTCCGATTTCGGACACCAACAACGGAAAATGCTAGAATCAAACCGACTGTGTAAGATCACAACCACGCGACACAGGAAGCAGAGATGGTGCCGCGGCTGCCACCCATGTCCGCTCCTGAATTCCACCTCAACGATAACGACTGCTTCTCGGCTGCAAGGTCACAAACCTCAACAGAGTTCAGTGCGGAGCAGTATCGGTGACGATTCTGCGAGTACTCTCGCGTGCCCCCGATGATGTATAGGTTGCTGCCCACACTCTCGCAGGCGAATCCAAACCTCGAGAAGGACCTTGCGTAAACCTCCCCGCCGTTTATGTGTCCCAGCTGGCTCCAAGAGTTCAAAGTCTTATTGTATGCCATGACTCTTTTCTGGTGCACGCAGATGAGCTCACCGTTCACAACTGCGCTGGGTTCCATTACCTTCTTGTCATCCATGTACATATTGGGCACGAAGCGCCATGTGTCAGTCTCGGCATCGTAGACCTCGGCGGAGCTCCTCTGGCTGTTGTTATAGTGATTCTTAACATACTCACCAGCGATAACCCAGAACTGCCCGTCGAGCGCAACTCCCTCGCAATTCGACCTCTGAACTGCCATGCTAGCTATTACCTTCCATGTATCGGTTTCTGGGTCGTAAACCTCAGCCGAGTCGAGGAATCGCGTGTTCCCTTGTCCGCCAGCGACATAGACTTTGCCACCTATCATAGAGGATGCGAACCAGCTCCTAGGAGTGTTCATCTTTGCGCCTTTCCTCCACTTGTTGGTGAGTGCGTCGTAGATTATGACGTCGCTGCACACCACTGATGTGGAATGTATGTTTGAAGCGGCATCACTCTTTGATCGACTTCCGCCTATAAGAAGCAATTTGTGGCCAAGAGCAACAGAGGCAAATCCTACCCATTGTTGGCTTTCGGAACGCCTGGGAGTGGGAGGGAGCACGGACCACTTCGCAGCAATCGGATCGTATGCGCGAAATGGAGCTCCCTGGGGAAAATCTGGAAGCACGTATATCCACCCTTCAGCGACGTCCATCTGCAAAATCGCCTAGCACTTTAACTCAGCTTTATCATGACGCCACTCAACCAGAAAAGAGAAGCACTTAGCAATTAATTATAGGATGTCCATACTAAGTAAGTACGGAACAAATATATCCTCCAGACTATAGTAATTTGAGACAGCACTCTACTTCGTGAAAATTAACATGTATGAAACTGATGCAGGGAATTGGTCAACAGGAAGAGAGGATTGATTGTGCTCGAACGCAGCCCGAGCCTGCAATATCCCCGTTCAATCAGGAATGTGATGGGTGATAGAGTGAAAGCGCTGATTTGAGTTTCAGAAATACCTTGCAGCGCAATGAAGCAATGTCCTGGTCCTCAGCCACCCGTCTCCACGATGAACAAACCAATCGCGTCTTGGCCAAGCTTTGTCGAGGCAACTGCGCAAAAATTAGCTTCATAACGTCGTCTGGCAAGCTATGGATCAGAGGACTCTTATCCTCTACACCAGTTTTCTGAATCTGCGCAGCTCGGCATCCCCACCACTCAGACAACACTTCGTCAATCTCCTCCTCCACGATCTTCAAGCTGTACCCCTCCACATTCAACTTCTGATTGCCTATCATACCAAGACAAAGCTTTCCAGTCCTGAAGCTCTCAGGCAAACACCCCGTACTCAACCCGGTCGCTACACCCATGGCCACCACGACAGGAAATTCAGACTCAACCTTCTAAATCCGATATACTGAAAACGCCCCCGCACTCTACAATTTTCATCCACAACAAAGTCTCAATTGGTACTCGATGGCGGTCTACGACGCCGCTCCTTTAAATGGATTTCAGCTCGATCTGTACTTCGTGGTCCTGAGCAAAGCAAATCGCTAGAGTCGTGCAGTGAGCGAGGCGGCGGAGCGAGCATTCAATCTCCGACAGCAGCGTCCGTTAAGAGCGAATGAGATCGACGTGTGATATGTTTATAAAAAGAATTGAGTGACGCCGAAACCCGACGCCGCGCAAGCAAAAGTCCCCGGCGGCCACTGATTATCCAAAGAGGATGATCCTGGTCCAAGTAAGCTAAGGCATCTGTTCGTGGCTGGCGTCGAGGGCCTCCTCTTAAAGCAACGACCCAATTGTGATGGTAGGGCACACACGTGGTGAGCTCAGGGAAGGGCGAAAGCCGATCCACGCCAGCCTCTGCAGCGCCTGCGTCAGCAAGCGCTGCAGGTGGGTCCTTTTGCCACGCCCAATACCGGCGCGCACACACCGTGCACGCTGCTGCTTCGCGGCCAAGGGCAACAAATCTGTGAGCGTCGCGACTAGTGGCGATCGATGTGGCCACACGCATTCAGGCCTCGCAGACCTCGCCGGCCTGGATTCTGTGGCCCTTGCGGGCCATGTGCGCCATCTCCGCTTCCTCTATCACTTCCAAGCTTCGTGAGGGACCTGCTTGCTTACTTCCTCACACGGCATCTCCTCCCCATTTCATCTGCCTCCTCTCTCTATCACTCACTCATGTGATGCGCCTGGCCTCCGTTTCCAAGGATTTTAGGGTTTTGTGGTGGGGTGATGATTTCCTTTGTTCATTCATTTGGCATGCCTTGTGTTGAACCTTGTGTTTTTGTCCTTCGTCACGCACATGTGGGGTGATGGTGGTTTTGCGGGTTTCGATCAGATCTAGGATCTCCGTGTACGATTGTGGCATGCATGATAAATACGTCACATTGTGTCAGATCTTTCATTTTGTCTTGTTTCTATTTAGCTTTTTGTTTTGATTTCCTCCTTGGGAACCGATTTGCACCGTGTCCGGCTTTTGAAACGTACTGTGTCATGCTTACAAGTCAAGTTTTGAATGTGTAGGTATTCAGATACCATTTGATGGTGGGTTTTGTTTTTCTCACAAATTTGTAGAATGGCTTTGTATATTACTGATGAACATATTTGTTAAAGCAGCCCAGAACATTTAATAATTAATTGCTTTGATTATGCAATTCATGGGAGTGGTGTTACTGAAGTGAGGAGCTTTGAAACAACCCTTGTGTTGGTCTTTGCTGTGGAACGGAGAGTGAATTGCCACCTTGTTGTGACACCATCTTCACTACTTGCTGCTTACACCATCTTCACTACTTTCATTATTATGCTTGCAAAAAGAAACTGGTTTAAACCAAATAAATTAAACCAGTTTTCATATGCAAAATTCTAATACAAGATTATCTCACTAACTTTACATGTACACATATGCCCAACTTGAGTGTAAACAAATTAAAAAATGGAATACTAGGACAAAAATGTGAATGATACCAAAGAATTACATGTTGCAAAGAGAAAATTAAGTTTGTGTTACTAAACCTTTTCGGCTTTTAATTTTGGTTCAGTTTGTAGCAATGTGTGGATCTTCAAGTCTAACAATTGTTGCACATAAAATTCACACAGTAATTTGAATTGGCTGCATATGTATGGCACTTAAAAGTAACCTCATTACACCAATGTGACACATACTTAAAATTGTTTTAAATTTTTTATTTCTCATATCTAGAAAACTGAGCTTACATGGTTTTGAATTCTATAAATACAGGAGCATTGGTGGTTTGCATCTCTTTAGTAAATATGTTTTAAGTACATTTTTAATTATCAAAATGAGGTAAAAATAGCTTTATACAAAAATAGCTTTATTTTTTACATGATATATTCCATTTTATAAAGCTACAAAATGATTAGACATGGTAAATCATATGGAAATGTTATTAACAAAGACAATTAATTATAAGATATAATAATGTTTTATAAAATTATGAATTTTCTTAATTTTGTATATTAATAATCAAGTGATTATCTGATTATATATAAATAATTTAAATGTGGTTAGATATATATATATATATATATATATATGTGTGTGTGTACAAAAATTACAGTCAAATAGTTTAAAATGTACAGAAAGTTATTTTTGCAAACAATATTCATTCACATACTTTTTACTTTTTATTCCCTAAACTTTTGGCACTAATATTTAAAAAGTTTCCTGAACTTGGCAGCATGGCTATGTCTCTTCCCTAAATAAACAAGACCAAGTCACTTTCTAAAAATAAGAAGCTTCACAAAGATGATGGAAAATAAATCCAAACCAAGTGAGGTGCATTCAGAGAGTAAACTTCATAAGATGACAACATTTTCGAATAAAATGTCGTTGAATTAATCAGAATAATCAATCCGCAGAAAGCCAGGCATGAAGAAGGGCCTACAGGGCTCAGTACCAACCCCTCTTCTGTTCATGACTGGTGTTGAAAGTGGCACACACTTGGGCACCGACCACGTTTGAATTGCCCGCCTTGGAAGTCCCGGCCAATTGGATTGGAAGATCTGACGTGGCTGCTGGATCGGGAGTCCAGGTAGGATTACGGTAGCCACGCACGCCAGTGATGTAGCAGGGCTGCCCGGCTGAAAACAGTACCGAGAAATAAATAGGGCTTGGCCAATTTGCGCTGCCTCAGTGGGAACACTTGTTTCCAAGAGTATGTATTGTGGCCAATCCCATTTTATGTAATTCTGTTTTGATAATTAGGGTTGTTTGTTAATTGTCAAATCTAAGAACCATACATGAATGATGACAAATAAACAAATTTTTTGCTTATGTTTATAAATATCATTATTATTTTTCATCATGTAATTTGATAGGTGATAATATTATAGTGTTTTTGATATTTAGAATACAATAGACAAGGGCACTCATCATTAGATGTTTTATCAAAGCTGCAATCAATTTTGCAACCAAGTTTAGGGTGAGTAGGTTTTTTCTTAAGAGGAAGTAGAGGACTATCTATCACTCCAAACTCTATGAGGTTGCTTCTTCAATAGATAATTCTAATACAAGAAATAAGTAGAGAAAAAAATATCATACAAATATACCTATACATCTTGTACCACTACTTGCACCAATGATTAAAACGCTTTAGGCTTACATTATTGTGGCATGCATTGTCCTTTTGCTATGCTATGCAAGTCCAATAATTAATACACTTAGTACTTGTATCAGATTATCTAAGTGAATTTGTATTTTTCTTTCTCTTGTATAATTTTTATTAAAGCTTGTGATTGTATTATTGTTATCAAATTTAAGCTTATTGGTACCAAAAGTTCAAGCAATGTATCCAATACGATAGATTGATGTACAAAGTAAAGCTTGTGGCTAATCTTAGGCACAACAATAAAAACAACCTACAACAACTAGGCTTGCATTGTCCTTTTGCTATTAAAGGATAGTATAAAATTATCAAAGCATGGATTCATGTCTATGATTAAGCTAAAGTGATTTCACCTAGATATCTACAATATAGATAAAGTAATTTCCATGATCTAGTCAAAGTGATTTTATCCTAATACCTACAATAAAGTCAATGTCCACAATATCCACAATATCCACAATCCAATCAATTCAAAGTGACTATAAGGTTTAAAATTAATATAATGAAATAATAAAAGAAGAGTGGTAGAGAATTGACAATCCTAATTTTCATCTTGTTTTTTATGCCTTTTTCATCTTAAATGCAAACTTCAAGTATAAGATAAAGCAAGATAAACCATTTCCAACATCTTTATGTAGAAATAAGACAATTGATGTTGAGTACAAGTAGCAAGAATTTTTTAATATGACATTTGACAATCAACTTATTTTATAGATTTCAAGATCTTTTCTAAGGCTCTAATTGTTGCTCTTGCTATCTATTATATCACATTATGTGCTTATTTAAAAGCATGCATTTGCACAGTCCTAAGTTCACTTGTCTTTTATATTCATAATCTTTAGCAATTGAGTGGTAATAGGATCTTGGCCTCATGCCATATTGAAAAATCATACAATACATGTGACAAACAACTTGATGCTTGGACAATCAACAAATTCAAGGATAGAGTTTAGTAAGGTGTCCAAATGAAGTGAATTGCACCAACTCAAAAAATATATAAGAACTTCTTTTCTAAGAGATATTGAGGCATTGAATTTTATGTAGGTATGTACGGTGACAATGCATAAGATGTAGCTAATAGCAAGGCTTATCAAAATCAACGAAATACACAATGTTTTGAATATGCATAGCCACGTGAATAGAATTAAGTATAGATATATATATATATATATAATATGGTTTGTATTTGCAATGGTCAATGCTCTAAAGCTTAAGCTTTTCACCAAATTTTTTATTTATTAACATAGCTCTTGACAAAGAAACTTATGGCTTTGTTAGAAGAAATGGCCTTTTCATTCAAAAAAAAAATTACTTGCAAAAACTAAATTTGTAGATTTGAAAGGCTTTATTTTAATTGTTTTAAGTCCTTTACAACTTAATCTTCTATTCTACTTTTAATCAAGATTATAATTAATATTAATTTGAGATATTAATCTTCTAAGAAATAGGCACATAAATATTATTTTTAATAGATATGTAGAATGTGGTTTTATTGGTCATTTACATAAAATGATGATTTAGTGATTATATTTTACTGACTTTTGGATCTTTGATTATAGATAGAAGTGAGAATCTAGCTCAAGATTGTAATGGATATGGACTTACTTCAAAAAACTTTGATTATAAAATCTAATATCCAACCTTAAAAGTTTTCTACTGAATCAATTATCTAATGAATCTTATTATTAATAGATAATTAGAGAACATAAAAAAGTCTAGTATTTGTATTTACTTTAGTATAAGAATATTTAAGGTTTGATTTGAATTATATTTAAATGAGGTTGCAACATATGTATAATAAATTCAAGTTAATTGGTAATGTAGTAGTAAAATATTATAAAATATAAACACCTAAAAGAAAGCAAGTATAGATTTTGTGTCCAATATCTTTGCAAATTTGCAATAATTTATATTTTCTCTTGTGCTTTTTTTTATTTTCAAATTAGAAAAAAAGACATTATATAGAATATAGATTTGATCTATTTATTGTACTATAAAGTGTCACGGATATATACATTTACCTCAATAATTACTTATATGATTAGATAGAAATATATAAATATATATTAATTTTATAAAGTTTTTTAGATGCGATTTTGATTTTAGATGTGTTTGTAGATT